CAGGGTTGTACAACGTCAGGAACATGTTACCGAGGGCGACTTGCGGCAATTGAGGGTATTCGGGAGATGGTTCTCCAGAATCCTACCACTGCACTCAACATTTGGGGCAAGCGCGACTGGGAAACCCTCGAAGGGGTGTGCCCTACATGTCTGACTGCCCTCAAGACGACGCACCAGACCGCGCGCCAGGCCTTTTGGAATAAGCTTCCGGAGATATATGGTCTTCCTCCTTGGAACGAGTTGGAAGAGATGAAAGTCGCTGCGATCGGCACCGATTGGTTCGCTTAACCTCCACGTACGTTGTTCCTCCACTTGTTTGCGAGTGGAAACTGGGTTTCAATGCTGACTTTTCCGCGTTTTTCGTTTCCTATCAGTACATGTATTCGGGACTTTACCTTCCACCCCAAGAGTTGAGCACGGAGGGTACGGGCTATTCAAGTAATATCGACGTGGTGTGGGTTTTCCACGGCGCCAATAACGTATATCGAGCTTCCCGTATTCTTTTTGGCCGTCTTTCCGTTTGCTGATCTCCAAAAAAACTCTTTTCTACATAAACGGGTTGAAGTAGTTACGAACGTCGCCTTTCAAAGTTACAACCTCCTGGGGAGAAGGCCTGTACTGATTTGGCGGCGGACTCGCATCTCCGACGCGCCCGACGCGCCTTCTATAGCGCCTGAAATACACTGATACTCTTAGCGTTTCTTCATGGGTATCTATTCAATACCTTCCACCTCACTTTCCGTCCCCCGCAATGTCAATTTTCTTATGTGTCTGTCAAGATTTCGACACGCGCTGGAGGGAGCGACCTTCCGCAGTCGGAGATGATTTCAATGAATCTCACCTCGAAATCCTGCGTCTCCCTGACAATACACACGTCCACTGCATACACCGTGCACCAGGCCCAATGTCTACAACCGCAACGAATACTACAGCTGCAACCGCATCCAAAGCGTCCATTCTACATACACTACTAGATAATAATGTCGCGTAACTAAGATAAAGCAAGCTAAGAGTATATAAGTAGTGCATGTAGGTGGGTGGGTATGAGTCAGTCGAGGTAGCAGGTCTAGCGCTGCGTAGTGCGACGAGAGTAAGTCTGTAAAATGTACCGCCCAAAACGCCCGGACTATGACCGAATACTGTCATACGTCGGCGGGATCTCGCGCATCCCCTCCGCACCCTCATCCGGCACGCGCCCCCCATCCTGGTGCACCACAACCCCGCTCCCGCTCCCACTCCCACTGCCGATGTCCTCCCCAGGCGAATGCGGATTCGGCATCCGCGGGATCGATCCGGACGAGGGATTCGTAACGCCCAGCCCGCCCCCACGCGCCTCGCGCTCCTTCGCGCTCATGGGATTCGGATACCCGCCGGAGCTGGTCGTCGCCGCGCTCATCGGGGGGCCCATGCCCATGCCGGCGGGGTGCGCACCGGCCGACGAGGCCCCGTAGTAGCTGCTCATCGACGGACTCAGCGCGCCCGTCCCGTCGCTCGCCGTCTCGTACCCGCCTCCGCTCCCCCCGGCGTAGTACTGCTGCTGCGCATGCGGGTCGCCGTAGTGCTGCTGCGCATACCCTGCGCCCGCGCCCGCTCCGACGCCCGCCATAAACGGCGTAACGACCCCCCCGCCAATACTGCTCCCCGCCAGCCGCCCGCCCACGCCGTCGTCCTCCTCCATCCCCAGCCCCGCCCCACCCGCCCCCGCGCCATACCCGTTCTCCCCCCCAAGCGACACCCGCGGCAGCGTCGCCTCCGTCGTCCGCCCCGGGTCGAAGTTCCCGTCAAACTCGCGCTCCCGTGCGCGCTCCCTCGAGCGCTTGGTCAGGAACCAGATGAGGAGCGCGAGAAGGAGGAGCGCGGCGACGCCGCCGACGACGCCGCCTGCTATCGCGCCGGTGTGGGAGGTGGAGTCGTTGTGGTTGGAGGACGGGGCTTGGGTGACGGTAGAGCCGGCGGGGACGGTGGAGGTGACTTGGGTGGTGACGGTTTTGACGACGCCGTTGGGGCCTGTGGTTCTGGGGATGGAACGGGAGTCAGTGGGAGAAGGAGAGAGGAAGGAGAGAGAAGAGAAACGGGGATAAGAAAGGAAAGAGGGACGATGCTGACGCATCCACGTTTGAACGACCAGGCACGACGACAAGGTAGCGGCGCGCGGACACCACCCAAGGAGACTCCTCTCCACTTCAGGTCACGGTTAAGCTGGAGATTCCACCATATATTTGTCGCAGATAAACCACTCGGGCTGAGGCCCAACGCCCACCGCCCTCCTTTGAAGCATGCCTCCGCCGTCCCCGTCTCGTGACTCTCGTCCACGTTCCGCCGCTCCACGCGTCCACACTCGTACACCCCAGACCTTACGCGGTAGCCGACCACGCCTCCGCGTGCCTCTGCTCCCCGACCCGACGACACTGCACGGACGCAACACAGCACGACGACACGGCTGCCGCACACCGCTCCGTCGTCGACCCCGACACTGACACCGACACCGACACCACTTGCACATCGTCACCCGCCCCCCCCTCCCCCTCCCACGCATGAAGGGAGAGCGAAAGTTCAGTAAGGAAAGAGCGCCCGCAGTCCCTCCCTCTCCCCAACCGTATCGATGCGCTCCTGGCACGCGCACGCTCCCCGGCAACCTGCAATCCCTCGCCCGTCCCCCGTCCCCCGTCCCGGCAACCCGCACTCCGCCCCGCCCCGCCCCGTATCCGGTGAGGAGGGGACGAGCACAGCACACTCGGCCGCGCCACGCGACACATGGGCACACGAGCTAGCACACACGCGACCCGCCAAGGCTGCCCAGACGCACGACCCGCGGGCTGCTCAGAGTCAGCCGCCCCTGACGCGACTGGCACAGGCACAGGCACAGGCACGGGGGCGTCCCCGTCCTCAATCGATCGGATCGGACGCATCCCCGGCCCTGCCCCCGCGGACCGTGGACCGCATCCCCATCCCAGCGAAACCGACCCCCGCTGCTCGCACATCCCCGGACCCCGAGTGAGAAAGGAGGGCTGCAACGATTCTCAAACAGCACAGAGCCGCGTACAACGGAGACGACCGGGCAATGGAGCCCGACCAAACCTGTGCCCGCCGCGTGTACGCCATGACCAGGCCGAAGATGAAGATGAAGATGAGACTAAGACCAAGATCGAGACCGGGGTGGGGCGGTGCCGTGTTAGAATAGAATGGAAGTGGAAGCGTGCGTGGCGCCGATGGGCACGGGCACGAGCATGGGGGTCTGGGCTGGACCGGACGGGGCGTCGTGTGCGTGTACCGGGCACTATAGTGCGTATGTGGGGTCCCAGCGCCGCACCGCAGAGGAGTGGACAACAAACAAGCAAATCAAGCACATCCCGTCCAAAGAAAGAAACAAGAGAAACAAAAGAAGAATAAAGAAGAAGAGAAACCGAGACCCCAAAAAAGGGGAAACGAGACGCACAGGAAAGTGGACGGGCTGACGGTCACGGACGGGGTGGAGAGGACGACGACGGATGAGGAGCTGGAGAGGGGCGGAGCACTGGAGGGCGGGCTGGAGACGGGGTTGCTTGCGCTTACGCTGTTGCTGTTGCTTTGAGGGGTAGAGCTTGGGCTCGTGGGGGGAATCGAGCTGGAGGGGCTCGGACTGGTTGAGCTGGGCGGGGGGGAGGATATTGGGGAGGGGATTACGCTCGCTGTCAAGATAAAATCAGTAAATTAAAATAGAAATACGAGAGCAAAGGACCGGAAGAAGGGATTGTGCTGGGAACAGGGGGCTGCGTGCTCGACGTGGAGGAAGACATCTTCGTCCTCGTCGCTCGCCGTTATCGAGAAATCGGATGAGGAGGAGCAGCAAGAAGCAATGCTTCTGTGTCAAAAAATAGCGCAGCGGAATGAGGCATTTGCGTGCGGCCGGATATAGCCTCGGCACAACGAATGGAGGAAATGAAACTCACACATGCTTTCCAGAGAAGGACTAGAGTAAGACTTTTGTTACCTTGGTCGTGGTGGGAAGGAAAGAAAGTGAGAGTGTCCCCGAGGACACGGTGGAGCGAAAAGGAAGATATTCGGGGGCACGTGCAAGGGGCGGTCATGATCCCGGTCCGGGCCGCGAGAGACCGGTTGAATATGGAGAGTTGAAATTAGACTGTCTCACGTATAGGACAGGCCCCAGGGGTGGCGCACTCTAATGGAAATGGATCGAGTTGAATTGAAATTGAATAGACTGAGGTGTTGAATTTGAACCAAATTGCCACCCCCTTCTCAGAAATGGTGGTACAAAGTAGAAGTCTGGGCTTGGTCTGGGCCCTTGTTCAATGAGACCCCTCCAAAAAGATGAGATTGTGTATGCGTAGGTAAATGTAACGTCCGAAGAAAAAGAACGAAGCCACAGTTCTATGCGGACGCAGGGAATCGAACCCCAACCTCCCCCTCAATCTTCACTCAAGCTGGGCCGTGCACCGTACACCACATCCGCTTCCATGCACCTCTTCGGACGCCGGTGTCGAAGGTATTTATTCACCTCCCTGGAGTTGAACTAAGTCGGTGAACAATTGAGACGAGACACAGTTGAAACTTGCTCCCGGCGAGTCCGAGTTCCCAGTCAACATGAAATCACCAGATCTGGTTATTTGGGCAGAGTCTTAACGAAACATTTATCCCGTAGCGGAAAAAGTCTAACGGCCTGGATCCTGCGAGAGAAAAAATTCGGCTCTACAACTGAGCATGCGAACACGGGGAATCGAACCCCGACCTGCCCATTAATTTTCGTCGACGTCCAGCAGGATGCTGGGCCGTGCACCATACACCATGTCCGCTTCCATCCACCTATTCGTTCAACCAAGTCAGTGGACAATCGAAGTCACGAGACACAATTTGAACCCCGCTTCCCTCGAGTCCGAGTTCCCAGTGAACATGAAATCACCAGATCTGGTTGTTTTAGCAGGCAAGGCCTATTTATCCCGGGGCGGAGAAAAGTCTGAACGGCCTGGCTCCTGCGCGAGAAAAAATATTCTTCTACGCCACCATGCGAACACGGGGAATCGAACCCCGACCTGCCCAATCAACTTTCCTTGATATCGCTTGAGAAGGATGCTGGGCCGTGCACCATACACCACGTCCGCTTCCATCCACCTATTTGCCACTCAACCAAGTTGGTGAGCAATTGAAGACATGAGACACAACTTGCAACCTCTTCCATTGAGTTCGAGTTCCCAATCACCAGATCTGGTTGTTTTGCCAGGGTCTTCTGAACGAACCATTTTTCCCGGGGCGGAAAAGTTTGAACGGCCTGGCTTCTGAGAGAGAAAAAACAATCCTTCGTATATCACATTGCGGACCCGGGGAATCGAACCCCGACCTGCCCATTAACTTTCGACAAGAGTACCTTGAAAAGGATGCTGGGCCGTGCATCGTACACTACGTCCGCATCCATCCACCTATCCGCCATTCAACAAAATTAGCGAACAAATGAGACGAGATAATTTCTTGAAACCACTTCCTCGAGTTCGAGTTCCCAGTCAATGTTATCAGGTTTGGTTGTTTTAGCAGGCAAGGCCTATTTATCCCGAGGAGGAAAAGTTTGAACGGCTTGGCTCCTGCGAGAGAAAAGAGTACAAACGCGCAACCGCATTACGGACCCGGGGTATCGAACCCCGACCTGCCCATCAACTTTCGCCGGAGAACCCTGAAGAGTGCTGGGCCGTGCACCATACACTATGTCCGCTTCTCACCTACAGTCATATAAAGGTCGCTGCAATACGACGGGTCCTTGCGACACCCGGTTTTCCCTCAAATCGTTGTCTTTCATCCAACATGTGTTCATAACTTTGCATTATGTATCCCGAATTGGGTTCTGGTTTGTCCACCGTGAGAGAAGCGGAACTGAGCCATATGTGCGCCATGCACCACGTCCACGTCCATCCTCTTTGTTGGAGTCGAATTACTGGAGAAAAGATAATTCTGGCAGTAGATTTGTTCGGGGGTTGCATCCTTTGGCCTACAGGAGCCTGAGGCTACAGCCGCGGCGCGGACTCGATATGCCTCAGGCTTCCTGAAGAAATATCATTGTGAAAGCTCTGAATATCTGGTTCTCATCCGCAGGACTCGGATGAAAAAATAAGTGCGAATGAGCTACCCATTTCGGATACGGGGAATCGAACCTCGACGCCGGACAACCCATTGGACCGCCATCGTCTTATTTCGTTGGGCCGTGCACCATACACCGCGTCCGACTTTGTACTTGAGTTCTGTGGTGAACAAGAACAGATAGACAAGAACTGGCCCTGTTGAATACCTTGGATGACAACGGAGGAACAAGGGTGTTCAAACGGCACGTGGGACAGAATTCCAGTCATCCGTAAGCTACATATCCATGGCAAGGAACGTCGAGCGCTCTCTTCAAATTCTATCGGCGTCGTATCAGAATCGCTCTCGGGGAGGGAGCGATCGAGAAACACTCCAGCCGAGTCCAATTGTGTTCATAAACACGGTAACACGCCTTACGAGCGCACGAGCGGGCATCTGTTGACACACTCGCCTTCCGCGAGGGGTACTGATGATAATACCCGCACATTGATATTATCCCCCCACCGGACACGGTTATCCGAGGTCAGTGACGCGTTTTCGTCTAGCTTCGCCCAGTGCACCCGTGCCTCTAGAACAGCGATTCCGGGAAGAGCGTTGGTCAGTGAGAGTCGGAAAAAAGGGCCAGATAACAAGCTCATTTGCGATGAAATGTTTCTAAGTTAGTACTCAGTAGTAAGTATCGGAGGATGTGCAGCAGCAGGTTACACAAGGAACAGGAGGGACACCTCAACTATATATCATATCAGGAAACGATGCGGGTCTGGCTCCCTCGACGATGAGGGCTTTGGGTACATGAGGCGCAAAGCAGGGTAGCTTAGGCGCTGGAAACCGTACCGGGAAGCGGGAAGATCAGCCATTGCGGTTTTCTGAATTGAGCGAATAGAGACTTACATGATGCGGCTAACCGAAGTAATCTGTGCCGATGGCCGCGACTTTCATCTTCTCCAACTCCTCCCACGGAGGTAGACCATAAATTTTGGGTAGGTTGTCCCAGAATTTCTGGCGCGCCGTATTGTGATGCAGTCTGAGCAAGGTGATACATGCAGGACATAAATCGTGGAGCAAATGCCAGTCATCACTTTCCCATAGACAAAGAGGATCCGAAGGACGATTTTGGAAATCTCCCCAGCCCAACCTAATCGCTGCAAGTCGCAGTCCCCAGCATCGGGCTGGAGAAACACAACCATCAATCTGAAGCGGATCGGATAAAAACCGCAGGATGGCTTCTTTGCTCCGAGTTTGGATGTCGTGGCCGGTCAGAAAGGCTTCTTGGTCTTGTATGCTTAGGCCGGTCAGAACCCCGTGAAAGACACCTCCATGGAAGATGTGTTTACCGACCTGGCTGAAAGCGGCGGAGAGGTTATAGAAGGCGTCAGGGAGGATCCAGAGTGCGTCAGTTTCCCGAGCCAGTTGAATGATGCAAAGTAGGTCGGTCCGAACTCGATCGTCAGGCCACGGAAATGACTTTATGTCTAATGCAGGTAGATTGGACCCATTGTCGTTCGGTACGAATGTGGCCATCCTGTCCCATCTCGACAGATCGGTGTCATACGCTGAAGACAGGTGAATGAGAGCTCGGCGACGAAGATAGTCCACCCCATATTTGTGGCTCAAGCGTAGACACCCGATGATAGTTTCCAAGTCTGTGCGGACCGGGAACGGCATGAAAAACCTGACTTTCATCATGAGACGTGGCTTCAGAGCATCAACGGGAACGCACTCTGGTTCAAAGATCGCCTTCAAAAAAGCCGTGACCTCGGTTGCGTAGTCGTGAAGCCGCACGAGCGGACAGCCCTCGACGAGCTCCGACTCGGGTGGTTGTGGAAACGAGAGCATGTTTTGGAATACGGTCGACCGGGCGGCCAAAACACCGCGATAGACTCGGAACTGGCTGTTTTCAGCCTGAACAACGATATTTCCGTCCTCGAACCACAGGTCCTCGACGCGTTTGGGTGGCTGCGGCTCGGAGTCGTCCATGACGGTGGCAAAGGGCGAATTTAAAACTCCGACAAACGCGTACATAGACAACAACAAAAAACGCGTAAGGAGATGCAAACAAAGCTCAGGAATATATAAAAAAATTCAGGCGACCACGTCCTTCGTGGAGGATCTCAGTGGATCAGCAATCTGTTTTTGAAGAAAACTGTCGAGCTGCTTCATCTAATCGAATCGAACAAGGCTGACTCAACTTGAACAAAGTTAAACCAAAGTTAAACATCCAACCACTGGTCCAGGCAGGATCCCGCATTAAGTAGAGTACTGAAGTCTGCGTCGTCCAAAAAACTAACTGCCGTTCTTCTGGGACGAAACCGCGCGGGAAGACCCTCCAGTTCGATTGCTCTCCAGTTCCATAAACCCATCCGTAAATCCGAACGTCGACAGCCGTCGCTGTTGCTTGCACCAGCTGGGGTAGGCAGGGTGCGGACTCGCAATTTCATCCTGTTCGGTCTCCGTCCCCGTGAAGCTGCGTTGGAGTCCGAATAAGGGATTAACATACCGCGTGGCAGCTCATGAGCATCGAGTTACGGGGTCAGCGAGAAAAATATGACTACTTCCGCCGCTGATCATGAACTGTGGGCACAGTGAGTGTGTCCTGCAAATAAAAAGTAATTGGACTACGTATGCGGACCCGGGGAATTGAACCCCGACCTGCCCATCAATTTTCGCCCAAATCACTCTTCACAGGCTGCTGGGCCGTGCACCGTACACCATGTCCGCGTCCATACCCCTTTTAAAGTCGCGTTGAATTCCTGAGCAAGACACTGCGGAATTTTGAAACCCGCTTCCTTCGAGTCCGAGTTCCCTGTCAACATGAAACCACCAGGTCCGATAGTTTTGGCAGAACAGAGTCTTTGAACGCACCATTTACACCGTGGCAGAACGGCCTGGCTCCTGCAAGGCTCAGCCACATTGCGAACACGGGGAATCGAACCCTGACCTGCCCAATCGAAGTCTCCCAAGGAATAAGCTGCTGGGTCGTGCAAAGTACACCACGTCCGCTTCCATCCACCTATTTGACGTTCAACCAAGTCATGCTTGGAGGGTTTCATGCTTTCCGAAATTGTGACTGGAGCGCCAGAGTCGTGCGATGAGAATAAGCCCATAGTCTTGCGAATTCGCCCAGAACTGGTACATAGATATATGGGCGCTGGCGCCACGCGGAGGTACCTACTCTGTAATATATACCCTGATGTCTACTCCGCTCACGCCACGCTCAATTGTCCTCATTCGCATTCGGCTCCTGGTCCTTCTGAAGAAAACGAGCACGGCTGCAGAAAAGACCTTTGATTGCCTCGAACAGTTTAAGATCGCTCACCTCGTGCGTTACGCATTCATCATGAATGTATCGACCTAGACATATATCTTCCGTAATTTTACGGAGCCGAGCGGCCAAACCCTTAATTATTGAATATTGGGCAGTTTGCTATTCCTCACAAGTGGTGATAGCAAATACTCAGACTGAAAATAAATTTCTGTCCTGAGCCTACACAAGTTAATATCAATAGTTGCAGGCAATTCCACGAGAAACATCGCAAGCCATTTGGATGCACGAGAAAAGTCAGGTTCCTACCCAGCCGCGGTTTCGAGGTTCCTCAGTCCTAGTATGTTAGCAATTGAATTCAGAGAATGGAGGGTCGGGAATTTTCGGACCGGAAGTGATTTGTCAAACTCTCTTACGCAACTTGGGGGAGGAACCTCTCCACAGCCATCCCCAACTTGAGTCACATCATTCGTCACATCACATACGGTCCGAAATTTCCGCAACCCCATTTTTTGAGATTTAGAATAAAAACTACGCTACAGAGATTGATGAACCTCGGAACACGGCTGGGTAGGAACCTGGAGAAAAGTCCAAATACTCAATTACTTCATCCCATACAGGACCCCGAAACTATATCCCTCAGTATAGATTATTGCGGTTTGACGGCGTGCAGGGCAATGTTCGCTTCATCAGCTCTAGAATTGCTCAGACACCTCTTCGGCCACACGATGCAGTATAGTGTCATGGAAATCCAGAGCGGCAGAGAGTCAAACA